GGCGTATGTTGTCTGCTGTGTTGATTAGCTCTTTATTTTCTGCATGTCTGTGTTAACTCCTTCATGAATAATTCATGGAAATTTCTGTTGCATGATTTACAGTGAACCCCAGCTAACAAGGGCTGCTTGACCTCTTTTTCTGATGAAAAGCAGTTTTGATTGTTACCTTTACTTGAGGCATGGGGGAGATGATTTACTGCTAATTATTATAATTAATTTAGTAATACAGAAGCTAGCCAATTCTATAGTAAGTACGTTGTTACTTTTCATAAGAATAAAATAATCAAAATTGAGTGAATGAATGGACAGATTATTGTTTATGTTCTGGGAGTGTAGATTATACCTTTATATCATTTGTTCCTGAAGAAAGTAAGGATGTTACTTGTTTGTATGATATTCCCACTTGCCTCAGTCTTTTGTACCAGGAATATTTGTTATTTCCAGAAAGATAATAACTTGCACTGAAGAAAAAGAGTATAATAAATTGTGTTGGAGCGATTAATTACCCATTTAGCAAAAACATGAAATCTCACAACACACCCTGAAATAAACTCTAGATGGATTAAAAAATTGAATCTGAAAACAATTATAAAATAGAAGAAAAATACTAGAAAACATTTCATTTACTTTGTGTGGAGGAGGACTTACTATGCAAGATATAAAACCCAGAACCACAGAGGAAAAAATTACAAATTTGATTACATAAAAACTTTAATTTTTTCATCACAAAATATAACATATACAAATTTAAAAGATTAGTGATAGACTGGGAAAGTATTTGCAACACATATCGTGAATAACAACTTTATATTCACATTATGTAAATCATAAGAACAAGTAAAAATCACCTAATAGGAAGTTTGATAAAGTATATGAAGAGAATGTTCACAGAAGAAGATGTATAAATGGCATATACTCACTAGAGCAAGGACATGCACAGAAAACACTAATGAATAGATTCCTTACAGATCAGATTGCCAAATATATCTAGGAATGGCAAGATAAATAATGGATGTTCCCATATTCTAGTTTTGCAAGTGAAAATTGGAAGACAGTTTGGCAGTGTGTATCAACATTTTAAGTGTGCATATCATTTGACCCACAACTCCAATTCTAGGAGTTCATACTAAATAATTTTTTTTTTCCAATAGTTTTTTTTTTTTTAATTGTACTTCAGGGGAACGTTTACAGAACAAATAGTTTCTCATTAAGCAGTCAGTACACATTGTTTTATGACATTGGTTAACAACCCC